TGAATGCAATAGTACCTTGTTGGAACTACATCTTGTCCTGGCATTAGACTAACATGAGGACCTTCACATAAAGCAAATCCCATTCTGCTGACACGGGAAGGAAGAGTCTTGGTTGTGTTTTGGTCAAAATCCTCTACTTAGGCACAAAGTGAACTCAGGACTTTCCAACTTGCAGGGCACCGATGGGAACCCTGGGTTATGAGATTCTTCCTAAAAGGTATAACACCAAATTTGGCTAGAGGGGATTATATGGATGAAATGATCTTTTAATAAGCTTTCCAGCCTGGATGTATTTTCTACTAATGCATTGTTAGAGATTCATATAGGACTTAAATCATATATCCCAGTAGGTCTGGGTTCCTAGGATTCAAAACTTCAGTGCATTCCTGGATGTTGACTGCAGCTCTCTATTCTTGCCCAACAGTATAATCACTTGACAGATCAAGCTTTAGGTGAGAAGAATTGTTGGGCAATACAAGTAGGATCAAAAATATTTCTTAACGTTGAAAGGGTAGATCAATACTAATAAGATTAAATTGAGCAGGGACACTCCCTTCCATCCTCTAGAGTGCCAGTCCCTTTCCCAATGGAAGGACTTTTAGGAATTTATTATATAGGGTTTAAGCCCAGCATTGTCCTTAATATATGGCATGCGCGTGTGCGCGCGCGCGCACACACACACACACACACACACACAATTTCCTATGTCATTAAATGCACGTCAGAAAGATCATTTTCATAGATGTGATGTTCTATCTTATATATATGCTATAATATATTTAACATTCTCCCATTTTTGCCTAGGTATGTTGTTTCCAATTATTTAATCTTACAGATAATGTTATAATGATCACCCTTTCATATTAAAAATAATTGAACAGGGACAAATGTCAAGTCATTTATTTAGGCTCAAAGGCAATCACAAAATTATAGTCTCTAGATTTGTCTGGTTTCCTGGCAATTTCTAAATGGGGTGGGGAGATCTAGGAAGTTTTGGTTGCTTACAGTACAATATTTCCTAACAAAGTAACCAGTATGTTGTTCAGTATGGCAAACACTGGCATCCTATTCAGACTGGGGAGGCATTGTCCCACTGTACTCTGTGCTAGGCATGTTAGCGTTGAAATACTATGTCTGTTCCAGATACCACCACCCTTCATAAACAATGTGGACCAACATTTAGAGGAGATCAGTAAAATCTGGTATTATCAGATGAGTAATGGCTGAAAGAAGTTAGAGGGTTTCCCTGAGGAAAAGATCAGATCTAAGGTTATGAGATAACAGATTCCAAATACAGGAAAGAACATTCTAGAAAAGAAGAATTTAGAGTTACTTCCATGCCTGAAAGCTATAGGAGGAAGATTTCAGAAGATATGGCCTAGAGCACTTTAAAAAAATAATAAAATAAAAGGAAACCTAGTGACACCCTATTGATTGCCAGATTGCTTCCCCACTCCTCTTGCTGAGGACCATGAGGTTGGAAGAGCAGGAAAAAATCAGAGAGGGTCCAGGTATCAAACAGCCAGGTCCTCTTCTGTATACTCTGGGATGTTGGCATTCTCCAAGGTTCGCCTTGGAGAGGTTGCCTCTCATCACCTTCTACACTTACCTTAGGCAACCTCGTCTGTCTCCAAGGCTTTAACACCCACTTATCCAAACACAACTCTCTAGTCTACATCTTCAGCCCTTCCCTTTCTCTTTCCCTTTCTCTACTACTATCTGGAGAAGAGTCTTTTAAACTGTGATGAATCAAGATCAAGATGTATCTTCCTGTCTTCCTTAGTCAGGATACTTGGTTGCAAGTGTCAGAAACTCAAAGGTAACTATCGTGGGCAAAATGGGTAATTTATTTGGGTTATGTTAGCCAAACTGCCTGTCAGACAGGGAGAAATTAAATTAGCTTCAGGGATGACTGGAATCAGGGACTGAGAGGCCGCCAGAACTCACTTTCCTTCTGTCCCTCATACCTACTTCTCTCCATGTGTTAATTTCCATTTTTCTCTATTGAAGACTAAGTCTTCCATATATGAGACATAACCACTGGAATCTCTAGATTTGCAACTTCACAGATCCATCATCAGAAAAGAAAGTTTCTTTTCCTTCATGCCAATTCAAAATTCAGAATTACCAAGAAAGGTCTCTGGGTCATATACCCATGTTGACCAAACACTCAGGGAGAAGAGAAGAGGACAGTATAATTGGACCAGCTTGCATCTGGCATGCACCCCCTAAAACAATCATTGTATCTAAGGAAATGGGGTCATCAAAAAAAAAAAAAAAAAGAAAGAAAGAAAGAAAGAAAGAAAAGAAAAAAGGAGAGAAAAGGCAGCTCTCGTTTAGGTTCATGAATTCACATGGGGCATGGGAAAACAGGTATGTCTGCTATTCTCTGGAAATGGGCCCAGTGTAGGGTAGATAAAACATTAATGCCCACTGAACTCTCCAGCAATGCTCTATCTCCCATATTCTTTATCCCTATCAATGACATCTCTACTCCTCCAGTCTTGAAACCTGTGCCTCAACTTCTTAAAAACTTTGGTCAATTCCTCAAACAAAATCCACACTCCTTAGCTTGGAATGCAAATCCCTTCCCAGTCTGACTCTGACCTAACTTTTCAGCCTTATCTCCTTTAATTCTGTTCCACTTCCACTCTGTTTTCCCAACACAACCATACCGTGCTGCCACACTTGCTTACTCTTCCTCAGGCCAAAGACGCCATCCCAGCTCTGTTTGTCTGTCCACACTCATCTCTTTGCCTGTATTTTTTTGTACTTTCTCATTTTCATCATCTTCAGGATTTATGTATAATATCACCTTGCCTTTTTTCTACCCTCCAGGCACATCTTGTATTTCCCATGACACATTAATTCGTATTTCTGATAAGCTCTTATTACATGGAATTATCATTTCTTTGATTATATATTTGTCTCCTCACCAGGCCAAGAACTCTTGGAAGGCAAGGGACTATACATTGTTCGTCTTTGAAGTCAGTCCTAGCAAAGGGCCTGGTATATGAATGACTATCATCTGGTACATAGCAGATGGTCAATAAATGACTAAAGCAACAATTAACATTTTCTAACTTACAGAATTCATTTGGTAGTTTTAATGACTGAAACCACATATTACCAAAACTAAGGTTTATTTTTTTTTCTTTAGGAAATAGAGGTAATTCAAAGATAATGATTGGTTCATTTGGTTTTATTATTTCCACCCAAAATACTTCATTCAAATTTGCCAAATGCTATTGTAATGCCAACCACCCAGTCACACACTAGTGTATGTCATATTTTTGAAGGTTTTTCACTGTTCTGTTAGTCCAAACTGCAAATGAATTTTCTCTTCCCTGGGTTCCAGAATGTACACTGTACCACTGGCAGGTGAATGAATATTGTACCTGTGGAGGTGGCTACATGCTTAACAATTCACATACCTGTTGGTTAGTCATGAGTTTTCCCTTTGATGAACAGATTTCGACAGCAAAGATCCCAAACGGTTGTGAGGTTTATAACAAGTGAATTGCATTACTAAAACAGAGCCTTTATTTTTGAGTGATATGATTTTGTCTAGGCCCTCAGAGTTTAGTCAAGATCATTTTCATCCCATCCCACTGCAATTTGCTTTCCCACATGGGAGGTAAGGGCATGAAGTACAGCTAGCTGCCTCCTATAAACCCATCATATTCTCTGCTGTTAGTGACGATTTACCACCTAGCGCTGTGTCAGTTACAACTTATGCTGCATTGCCCCCAGACACCCGAGGGCATCCCTCAAAATCCAGATTACCTATGAGGCTGTTTCCTGCCTGCAGATGTCATCTAAGCTGTGTGGCAGCATGGGGAACACCTGAGAAGTAACAAGCTAGATCTCATGGCCCCCTGTGGTATCATTCCTCTTACTAGAATAACCTGGACTCTCCGAGGTCATCTTGGCAAGAGAGTCAACTTTCCATAAAACACCTCTGGCTATACTAAAAGTGCCCTCAATCTTTGCTACTTTACCCTTTATTTTAGTATATTTTGTTTATTATTTAGTTTTCTGTCTACCCTCCATTTTATGGTCCAATTCTGACTCTAAGCTGGAGAACTGTGAACATAAATTGAAGAACTGATCTTACTTATATTGTTGGCTGCTTTGAGAGTCAGAGTGGGGTACTGCAGAAGATGAGAGCTAGGAGGGGGCTTCAGACCACCTCCTCATTTTACAGATGGGGGACTGAGGCCCCAGAGGAGGAAGTGACTTGTCAAGTTGGTGGAAGAGCCAAGACTGAATTCAGGTTAATGCAACTAATCATAAAGCCAACAAATATACATGCGGACATTCAAGGTATGGATGCAGGTGCTGCTGGAAGAAAAGACGATGAATTACAACCTGGCCTGGGCACCTGACAGTCAATGATGGCAGGTGACTTAACTGCAGTCTGTGATAGTCTAGGTGAAGCCAAAGTGTCAGAAGTGATTGTTGCTATTGTTGACTGGGAAAATGTAGAAAGGATTCTCAATGAGAGGGTCTCTGGCTGGAAGGGACACCCAAAATTCACCTATCCTTACCCCAACTCTGCTTTGTTCCCAGTTCACTAGGGCTGTCTAGAATGCACAAGATATGAATCTGTCTGGAAACCAAGGGATGGATGGACAGTAAGGAATCTGAATCATAGATATATGCTGGGGCACCTGGGTGGCTCAGTTGGTTAAGTGTCTGACTCTTCGTTTGGCTCAGGTCATGATCTCAGGGATGCCATGTTGGGCCCCGCATCAGGCTCTGCACTCAGTGTGGAGTCTGCTTGAGATTCTCTTTTTCTCCTTCTCCCTCTGCCTCTCACCTTGCTGGCACACTCTTTCTCATAAATAAATATTAAAAAATAAATCATAGGTATATTCTTATTTATGTTCCTTATGTTGCCTTGGTTTTTCTTCCCAGCATTCCATGTTTCTTATGCTTTCCGAGAAGTAAAGGACTAGGTTGAGTTCTATGCACTAGAGGGCTACGGCATAACTTCTCTTAGACCTTCTGGTCCCTTCCACCATTGCCTTAGAGAAACCCTCTTCTTGGAACTACTCAACAGGTAATAAAATCATATCTCAGTGTTAAGCAACTAGCCTGTGTCAATGCTAAATGCTTTTTATACTCACACGGTCTCAAGCTAATTCTTACAACACCATGAAAAGATGAGGAAACAGCAGTTCAGAGGAGTCCTGCAACTCTCCAATGCCACATGGCTTGAAGTGGCAGAGGTGGGTCTCTAACATAGAACAGTCTGACTGTAAAACCTGTTTTTCACGATAGTACATTGTTTTTCAAATACAATATGCTAAACACATGACACATATATTTTCAAAATGTTCATCTGAAAAAACACCTACTTTTTAAATGAAGGCTATCAGTGCTAAGATCAGGCAAATATAGCCACACTACACCAAAGTTATGCCAAAGGATCACTGGGCTGGAAATCCCAATGCCTGTGACTGGGATCTAAGCTGGTTCTGGCGCTGAAACCTGACCTCAGGGAGTCAGTTCGTTTTGCCTACCACAGTGGTAAATTATCTGACCCCCCCCCCACCCCCACCCAGGTTCTTAGGAATGGTATGAAATTTTATCTTTAAAGACATGGTAGCGTACCAAGTTCAGCTCTTCAGAGTTTGAGAGAAAGTATTCAAAAACGCGTGTTGGTATGTCATGGATTCCAATTTTAAGCCAAGTTTATGGTCTCTCTTTTCTGGCACACATTTTATAAACAGCAAAGAAGACGCATTTTGTTTTCTGAGGTGTTAACTTCACAATTGTAAGAAACTGAGTCTCTTGTCTCTGTCAAAGAGGTTGGTGAGACTTTGGGGCTCTATAACTTGCGAATGATATACAGCACACCTGGAGATGGTACCACAGGTATATGAAAAGCTGCAGGGTGAGGCCAGAGAGAAGTTAGAGAACTGGAGATTATATTATATTATATTATATTATTTTATTATAATTTTATGTCTGAAGAGGTAAGTTTTGAAGAGTAACTGTCTTTGTGTTTATGGACTCAGAAAGTACCCAATAATTATTTGCTTGACTAAATAACTTTTCAGATGAGAAAAGGAGAGAAAATAAGATGAGATGATATCACGTGAATGAATGGTTGTACAGAAGAACTTTCAAACAGGCAAGACTATAAAACATTGGAAGAGGTCACTATTGGGAGGGGGCCCCCCATTTCCTCAGCAGTTATTACCTATGGGACAAATGAATGCCCCAGTGGCCTTGAGTGGGGGCTGTCCCACCTAGTGGTAGAGGGAGAAAGGAGATAGATGGTTTCTGGAGAGTCCCTTTATCCTGCTCTCCAAAGTGCAGAGATGGGTACTGAGCGCCCAGATGGCGCTGCCAGTTCTGAAGGCAGGTGCTGCCACCTAGTGTTTGCTGCTCTCACCCTCAGTGGCTCCCACTTGCCTAGGAAGCCCCAGTGACCCCAGCCACACAGACCTAAACAGCAAAGCCGTTCAGAAAACACAATTACATTAAATTATTTGTTGAAGGGGACTATTCTTTTGAGAAAACTATGAGTCACTAGTACAGCACTGAGATGTAAGAATCCAGCGTTCACTTGCACTTCTCATGTGGTGACTACATAGGGGGGCTACAGGTTACACACAGAAAACCTGTTGTATATGCCTTTAATATTAGTTTGACTTGGGTCCAAGTGATGGAAGGTTACCTTCCAAGTGGGAGGGGATTACAGATCCGGGGAAGATTTTCTAACTTTCGGCATTAAACTAACATTGTCTCAATGGGAGCGGGTGCTTAGTGTGACTGAGTGCCTCCAGACACAGGCTGGAGTACGGCTTTACAGGAAAGGTGAAAAAGCCATTTATGCCATCAAAACCATCAAAATGACTGACTAAGGGCACCTGGGTGGCTCAGTGGGTTAAGCCTCTGCCTTCAGCTCAGGTCATGATCTCAGGGTCCTGGAATCAAGCCCCGCATCCAGCTCTCTGCCCAGCAAGGAGCCTGCTCTCTGCCTGCTTGTGTTCTCTCTATCTCTTTGTCAAATAAATAAATAAAATCTTTTTAAAAAATGACTAAAGCAGACAGTCTTTAAATCTCTCATGCTAGACTTGGTGCTCCTTGAAAGCAGGGCTTTGACCATTGTGCCCTTTGCTGAGCATGGGGCCTGCTGAGTAGCACGGAGAGATGCTCAGTGAGTTTGTTGATGAATGAATGAATACATTCACTTAGAATTTCCCCAAAGAAGGGAACTGGCCCAGATAAAAGAGTTATTTAACAAGTTGAGAAGGACAAGAAGATCAGCCCCTGACATTCAGAAACTGGCCTGGCATTCGGGCTATGTCATGTTATTCTCCTGTACGAACCTAAACTATCTCACAGAATTTGAACCTTAGACAAGGTTATTGGAGACTATGATAAAATGAGACAAAGCAAGGCCACTTCATAATTTTGTCTAAGCACATACAAAAATAAGGTCACTGTCCACCTGCAGAATACCAAACATCGCCACCTTTCAGCCAAAATGAGAGATTGCTACTGCTTTATAAATTACAGCTACCCTACCTCGTCTTCCCAGCCAGACAGATAAGATTTACTGAGATACCCAATCAAAGACTCACCTTGCTGTCTGACAGCATCCATTCAAGGGCAAAATGCTACTTCCTTAGATGCTATACCAAATCACCCAAAGCCCAAATCCTATGATAAGCTCTTTCTAAGACTCTCTTACTGGGATACTCCACAGTTCCCTATGGTCTGTGTTCTCCCTCAACTTCTTAACTACAGGACTGCTTCTGGTGGTCTTTGGCTGAAGGCCACTGGCCAAGTAAATGCTAAGGGGGAAAAAAAAAGTATGCCCCAACTCCAAGTGCAACGTGAATCCCATAAGAATCCCAGATCCATGAGGGTTGAGTTAGCTACAGAACACTTCTGAAAACAGGAAGGATCTTATAGATCAATACCCACTAACATTGACTGAAGCTTACTATATGCCAGGCATTATCCATGCACTCTACAGGAGTGATTTCATTGCATGAAGTAGGCATTATTATCCCCACTTATAGATGAGGAAACTGAATCACAGAGAGGCTGAGAAACCTCTCCAAGGCCGGTTAGCTGGTGCGTGGTGGAGCCAGGTTCAACTTCGTCACCTGACTCCAGGGCCCATGCTTCAGACAGACAGGACTTTTAAGGAAGAAGAGAGGTAGGAAAGTATGTGTTCTGGGGGAAGCAGCAAGGCATGAGCAAAGGCACGGGGGCAAGAATACACAAGTTTACCTAACAAGCATCTTGATTCTCCTTGTAAGTTGCATAAAGAAAGACCTCTACAATCTCTGCTCCTCTCTCCATGTACCCCTTAGCACTGGTTCTAGTTTTCTTAAAGCTGACTCCCAGGCCCAGACGCAGGGTTGGAGACAACACATTCTGGTTCTTAAAGAAGCTTGGATTCTTTCACCTTAATTTTAATGATTAAAATGCTACAATCTGCCTCCTCCCCACCCCTTGTTCCTCTCATCTCCTGAAAGCCTGATGTGACACCATTGGGTGTGGCTGGGGGTCTAAAATCTGTCCTTCACCTAATAAACACCCACTTACCTTTCATTTCGTGGGGAGGCTTTGTAGTTCTCTAGGATAGCTTAGGTCCCGTTGTCACAGGCTTTCACAGTGGCCTGAACTCCCCCTTTGGGAAAGCATATTGTTCTTGTTACAGTTCAGGATATGTCCTCCCTTCCTCCCTATTAGACTTAGATTTTCACGAGAGCAGAGGCCAGGCTTGACTTGTTCACTTTCTGGCATGCCCCAGGACCTCCAAGTGCTGAACTTGAAAGGTCGGGGAACGGAATGGCAGGAGAGGTTCAGGGAGAAGCAGGGCCATTCCCTACCTTTCCTATTCCAAACTTTTGCTTCACAATGCATCATGATCCCTGCTACTGTATTTTCTTGACCCCAACTCAAAACCATCCTCAGTCAGGTCAGATGCTGCCTAGAGAAATCCAACCATGCTCTGTCAGGTCTTTTAATTTTAACAGGAGTCTTTCATAAACCTCACCTTCTGAAAAAGTGAACCTTCTCCTCTGCTGATTTATCCAAGGTCATGCTGAGTCAGACATCAAAGCTAGAAATATAACTCAGATCAGCAATTCCCAAGATGGTGCTTGATCTCCTTCTTAAAGGAATAAAGAAGAGGAACTGGGCTCGAACACTGAATTCTCTAAGAATGTTAATCAAATGTGAGCTTATAAGGCCTGTGGCTTCCACATGTTAGCCAGAAAACATTAAAGCATAATGAGTCCTTCAGGAAGAGGGATTTTTTTTTTTTTTAAAGGAACAAGAAAACCCAAGAAGTACAATCTGGATTTACAATTAATATTGCAAAAATGATTTGGGTTAAATCCTGGATTGTGATTATCCTAAACTGGTTTATCATAGTGAGGTCAGCATAAGCCTGAGTCAGCATCTGCTTACTGTGTTAACCTCTTGGTTGAGGGTACAGTAAAGCTAGAAAGCTGTAGGAAAACAAATGTCCTTGGCATTACCCTGTGTTCCAAACTCATGAGAAGCCACTTAAAAATGAATAAAACCAATGTTAAATTCTTAGCGACATCGCCTCACGGTGAGAAAGTTCAAATGAAAGCCAAGTTCTCAGCCTGCAGTGCTGAAGAATGAAAGCCAAGCAATTAGAGCTGAGAAAATGATTATATAATCTTACAGCCGGCAACTTAACTCAGCAATAGCAAGGGATTTACTGTCTTGGTGTTAAGAAGAACCAAGACCGCTTTTTACCTGTGATGGGTCAGGCGTAGCTCAGTACAGGAAGGGGACAGGGGAAAGAGGGAGACCGCAGAAGTTCTCCACCTCCTTCCAGCCTGCAGTCTCTGGAACGTGAGAAGTGAACCACCTCTGCAAAAAAGTGAAGCTTTCATGGATGAATTTAGAACATCTTTCCTGGATACGTAGGGCTCACGTCTCCTGTATGTACTATTCACAAAAACCAGGCAGCCCCCGATAATTGTGTATTTCCCATTTCTTTGAAATATTCCTCTCTTCCATCAGTGTTGCCCCAAGTGAGATAACAAAATTATT